ATACAAAATATGAAAATAACGATGACGATAATTATGAAAAGCACAAAGGTATCGAAAGACCTTCGTTGCGCAAATAAACAACTTTACACCACAGTGACATAAAACTGCTGAGTATAATTTTCATGGAAACTAATGTTACAGCAGAGTGATTGCGCACACCATTTCGTTTAAACCGAGAATTCAATTACCGCGAGGTTGACAAAGGTTTCGAATATACACGTTAATAGAAGGTGTTTCTTTAGAAGCTAACCGCCTTTTATGTAACGTTCTAGATAGGTGAGATATCTCAGTATTTTGTCATCTTTTGTATTATTAAAACCATTTATTTGTTTATTTACTTAATTTTTGTTTATATCTTACTATTAATTTCTGCAAAGATAGGCTACCTTTGTAATATTAAAGAGTGAGCTTTCTTTCCATAACTACGTTTTGCAGCTTAAGAATTGAGAAATACATAAAGCATCTCTGGGTGTAAAAACATTTCTGCATGACGACGTTGGCTTATCAGATATTGTTTACAGATTAATGATAAATTAAATACCAAGGAAAACCGACTCATATAAAAATTGCTTAGGAGAAAAAAAGACTTAAAAGACTTGAAATAATATTGTTAAGCTGCAAGGCTTGCTGGTTTGTGAGATGTGAGAGGTAGGTTTAAATTTCAACTTTCTACTTAGTCATTACAGAATTTGCATATCTTTAAATTAAAAAAAAAAAAAAACTGGCCTTAAAATATCCCATCGCCGTTTGGATGTTTTTCGCTAAAGCTTCACTTTTTTATGATGGACCCACGAGTTAGAACAGGGTTTCAGCCTGTATCTCAATAATACATTGGTAAAATGGCCTGTGTGGCCACCTGCCACCAAGGATCGTCTAATCTAAAACTACTCTTCAATAGATCAGGTTTTAGCGGTCTTTGTTTGCGCTAAATTTTATTTCGAAGACTTTTCAAAGGACAGCCACGAGATGGACTCTCGTAGTTCGCCTAGGATGCATTCTAAATGACATAAAACTATTAAAAGGAGCTTTGGTACCCACTCAAAATAGTAATTGATAACATGAGCGTTCCCCACAACTGGCAGCTTCGCGTCATCATTGTTTTTTTTCCGTTGGGTGAGTTTAGTTCCTGTAAGCTGAACCAAATACAACCGTCTAGTAAATTTTCAGTGGCTGGAGATCTGTCCCAAATATCCTCTGCTAATATAAATGAAAGGCTTGTGATAATTCTCCTTTTAGCAAGAACCAGTGCTGATATACCCTACGGGAAATGTATTGTCATGCAAATTATTTTCGTCGGGTATTTCTGCCGAAGTTTAGTCGCAGT